GGGCCACTGGGCCTTTTCTGTCGGTGGTCACCCTTCCCCTACCTGGCAGGCCTCAACCTTTTTTTTTTAAACAATATTTTTTAGTGGTAGATGGACACAAGACCTTTATTTATTTATTTATGCGCTACTGAGGATCTAACCCAGTGCCCCCATACGCTAGGCAAGTGCCCTGTCACTGAGCCACAACCCCAGCCCAATCAAAAGCCTCTTTGAACATTAAGGAAATGTTTCATCATTCTTGATGAATAGTACAGGATAGCATTGGAGGCAGAACGTATTACTATTTGAAAAAAAAATTGCTATTTCTCTAATCAGATTTGTTTTGTTTTTAGCATAAAACAACAATGGTTCAATTGTGGAACAGTGCTCTCAGAAACATCAACAAAATAGTGAATTTTCTGTGTAGGGAAATAATCATTATGTCTTTTTCAATGGTTGTTTTTACCAGATTGGCATTGACTATGGCTTATAACGATATATCCATTTTCTTCTTTCAGGTTTAGAAAATTGATGATCCCCCAAAGGACACACACAATATAAAATACAGTAAAGACTCACCGCTACTGGAAGCATCGTTCAGGTTTAGCAGTCCTCCTCCTAGCCCTCTGTAACTATGGTAACTGTAGGTCCCATTTCCATTGATGTATAAGACCTCCTGTGAGCCCGGAACCGTTGACGTTGAATAGGTGGCCTGGGCTGCCTCTGGTTTACACTGTTTGTCCCCTGGAGCAGACTCGTCCTGCAATGACACACCACACTTCATTATTTATCAAGTCATCATACTATTTCACCCCGACTGGGACTGTCTAAATGTCACCTACATAGCTTTACACAGCAAATATTAAGTAAGTTCATATGCACAGTTTCCACAATTTTGCTAAAAACTAAAAAAAGACAGCAAAGAAACTAGGTGGGCACATTAGAGACGGAGCAATTAACAATTTCCAGCTGAATTTAAAATTACACGTAGAGAGTCATTCACAATAGTCAAGAAGTGAAACAGTCTATATGACCCCTGGCAAGCAAATGGATAGAGAAGACATGGCATATACTTACAATGGAATATTATTCAGCCTGAAAAAAGGATACCCTGTTCATTTACAACAAAATAGATGAACCTTAGGGACATTATGCTGAGTGAAATAAGCCTGTTACAAAAAAGCAAATGTTGAATGAGTCTATTTATCTTATATATCTCATGCATTCAAACTCACAGAAACATAAAGAAGAATGGTGGTTTCCAGGTGTCAGGGGGAAGGGAGAGGGGAGAGTCAGTCTGTAGTTGTACACTTTTAGTCATTCAGGGGCAGTGCAAGCACGGTCCTGGAGCTCTGTTGTACCAAGGGTATGTGGTTGACAGTATTGTACTGGGTACTTAGAAACTCCTGAGAGGGTGAATTTTATGTCAAAAAATAAAATTAAGAGAGAATGAGCTAGGCTTAAAAAATCATGTGAAGAGAAATTATAATAAAAGGAAAAGAAACATTTGACAAAAATTTGAGTTCCTCAAAATCTTTTTCTGCAGGCCTTCTTCCCTGTCTCCCTCTCTCCCTCACCTTCCTTTTTCTCTCCTCCTTTCTCTTTATATATCATGGTAAGCAAACTAAGTAAGCAAAATTGAGTATCAACTCTAAGCTAAGCCTGTTACATGCATCACCACAGCACGACGACAAGGACCTTAATAAACAAACGGGCCTTTCAGCTTTTTTTGGCTTTTGTTTTTTGTTCTTAAAATACACCTATGTTCACAAAATTTGCTTCAAACTCTACAACCATGTCAGGCTGTGAGGAAATAAAAATTCAAATTTCTAATAAATTATGTGAAAATTGTTAGTAAAACTCAGCATGAGTTTATAAAGCCTAAAATATATACAATATGTTTAATTTGTCTATTCTTCTGTATTACTTATCTTCTTTCTTTTTTAAACAGGAAAGAATTATAAACAGATTTCTAGTGAGTCCTTGGGCATGCCTTTATCATCATCAGAAGCATTTTTCAGGTCTTAAGTTTAGATTACAATGGACGTTCAGTTAAACAAGTAACTTTCAAATCGTTTTGTGGATCTAAGCGATAGAAAAGAGGGAGTATGGAATGAGTTTGCTCCGGGGACTTAGGAATGTTTTTTATATGGAGAGATCCTTCACATCATGAAAACATCGCTATGTCAGCAGTTAATTTTGCTCTTGGTCTCTGCTGTGTTCAGCTACATCCAATGTTTGACACTGACCATCATGTTCAGCCAGAGATATCTGACAGAAGGCCTATAGATTTTAACTTTTCATTTATAGAAAGATTAGGAAAGCAAAGAGTAGCATTCAAAATTTAAAAAACATATATATATATATAACTTGACTTCCCAATCTAAATAGTGGAGCCAGAAACAGCAACATTTTTCAAAGTAGATTGAAGTGAAAATAAAAGGAAATGGGAAGGAAATCACTGTATAGCATAAAAAAATATAAACAAGGGAATTTTTATGTAGATTTATTTGCCACGTATTGCCTTTTAAAATGCAATAAATAATGATGCATCTGAGATTTACGTAGTACAAATATGAACTGAATTAAATTGATGTATAAACTAGAAAGTCTGATTGTAATTTAAAATCTTGCTATTTGAACCTTAGAAAACCCTGGTAGGGTTAATTACCTTAGAATAGCACTTTCCCTGAGAGAAACTTTCTTAAAGAGGGGACTTAAACAGAATCAGATTTCTGGTATTGCTGGCCCTCTGACTTTGAATGGGAAGTTAGTAATTTCCAGATTATTATTTTTAATTCCGACAGCTACTCTTTGTCAGCAAAAAGTACTCAAAGAAGGAGAATTTGGGATTGTGGCTCTCTATAGAGGCTGTTAGGTCTTTGCCAACATTACCTCTGGTAATTGAGACTTCTAGACATATTTCTATTTGACAAATAAGTGAACAATGTAAAATTGTTTTCTTTTGTGTCAAGGTGAACTTGTATATTATACATAGTAAAGAAACTTCAATAATCTACAACATTATTTACAGAAATCAGTTGTTGGAAGTGTGTGTCATAATAAGCAAGTGTGAGGTCAATAATCATACTAACTACAGGGCTACTCTAAATGAGAATTATTAACAAAGTCAGTAATATTAGTGGCACAGAAACATAGTAATTATTAGAGTCTAGAACCAACTATTTTTTAAATGGCATGTTATAGCGACCAGGTGATTGAAAAAACAGTTCAACCAATGATGACTACAACTTATACACAATTAATCAGCCCTTCATAAGGGTCCAATGAAATGGTCTGCCATCTAGGAGTGCCAGCTTCTCTGCCTGGGGACAGAGATGCACATATGTATATATACACATATGATAGTACTAATATTATATAGGCATGTAATAAATAAATATGTATAATACATGTGTATATATAAATAAAAATCTAAAATAAAAAATGCTCTGATATCTAAAAATTCTTGCCTGTAAGACACTCAAAGTTTTTTGAATTTGGAACGCTGCAGAGTTTAGATTGTTAATATGGGATTGCTCACATAATATTCTATGGAAATATTCCAAAGTCCAAAAAGCTATAAATATCCAACATACTTCTTATCCCAGTCATTTCAGATAAGGGATACTCAAACTTGTACACCCACCTATTCCTCCACAGTGGAATAGACATGTCATATATTCATTGAGTTTCAGATTATTAAAATGGCACCACTTCCAAAAGATTAAAAGATAAACCTGTGATGTTTACATGGTGCTATTGTTTGGTTGTTGGATGTTCCCCAAAGGTTCAGTGTTGAAGGCTTGGTCTCCAGGGTAAGGCTACTCCTGGGAGGTGGTGGAATCCTTGGGGGAGTTCCTTAGGTCTCTGGGAATATGCCTTCAAAGGAGATTGTGAGAGCCCAACTCTTCCTCTCTTTTACTTCCTGCTTCAAGATGTAAGTGGTTTTGCTCGTCTGTGAGCTCCCAGTCATTGCCATCTGGCACCTCCACCAGAGGCTCAAAGCAATGAAGTCACCTGTTCCTGGTGGTAAAATCTCTAAATCCCTGGGCTAGATAAGATTTTTCTCTTATAAGTTAATTGTCTCAGGTATTTTTGTTATAGAAACACTAACCTATTTAATATACATAAATGAATCTTTTTTATCATGTGTATAATTCTATTCCCTACTAAATAGTCATGTTTAAGCTGATCTCCATGGAACTGTAAGGATGTTTTCCTGAGATTATGAGTATAGACATACAGAGAAGGTTGCATACTGCATCCTTTCTTGTTTACCATTCTAGTGGCTTTGCTTTACTCTACTTTACACTTGTAAAAAATCACTGCATCCAAAGCTTTGTGAAAACTATTGGGCCATAAAATATTCTTCCTGTGAAAAAACACAGCTATTGAAATTCTGAAAGAAGGAAGAATGTTCTATTTTTTAAAAGCAATTTTGGGGTCCTTGGGAAGGGACTTGCCTCAAACAGTTCCATCACTTAAATATTGAAAATGACTTGGGAAACTGATAAAACTTGAATTTCTAGTTTTAGAAAAATAATGACTCTTATGAAACATACCAATCTATTTCTCTCTGTTTGAAAATGACAATAAAGTATGCTCACAGAAGAGCTTCTTCTCACTGATGAGTAAAAAGGGAGAAGGAGCAAGCATTGTCACTTTGGTATTTTTTCATTCTTTTTAAGATAGAATTAACTTGCATTATTAAATGTGGTTTTTAAGATTTGTCTCAGCCTTTCATTATTAACTGTTATTCCAAACCACAGTAATCACTTAGCAGGCAGATAATTAATTCCATTAACAAATAAAACAGACTCTGTAGGAATTATTTGTATCCAAACACAGATTTACGTTATTCATGTTTTTGGCAGTTCATTATATATTGAGAAATACAATATTGGAAACTTCCAGTAGAATCTGCTCTGTAGGAGCTGGATGTGGTGGCATGCTCCTATAATCCTAAATAGTCAAGAGGCTGAGAAGGACGATTTGCAAGTTTGAGGCCAACCTGGGCAACAGAATGAGAGCCTAATAATAATAATTAATAATAACCATTATTGTTGTTGTTATTATTATTGCCTATAGAGTCCTTGGGGCAAAAGTTTAGTATAAAGTTAATTTGTGTTTTACCTTGAATGACTATGAGTATTGGTTTCAAAGAATGATTTTTTTAACATAAAAAATAAACACCCTCTAGAGTCACATTTTACCTCTCAAGCAACTTAAAATCATTAGTTCCCCAAGTTTTTACAGCTAAGAGTTGACCTCCTAGGTGGCAATGAAGATTGTTTTCAAAACAATTGGTTTCATAACTAATATGTTATAAGACTTTATGCAATAAAATAAATTTAATCCATCAACAAAATAAATTAACAAATTCCTCTCTAAGTTTTCATAGAAAATATAAGCCCTGCCCCAGCTATAAACCTTTGGATTCTATGGTTAGGAACTGGACAGAGAAAAGTTTGGACTTCCCAAACTTGGTCTGTTACATGGATGAAGCACACAGATTGAATTCCTAACTTACTGCAGACCAGACCCTTAAAGAATCCTTTACTATAGAATCTTTTACTATAGTACGTGTTTTTTTCTTTTTTTTAAAATGGAAGTTTTTTTTTTTTAAATTTTTTTTTTTTTTTTTTTGTCGTGTTGGGGATCAAACCCAGGGCTTTGTGTATGAGAAGCATGCACTCTACCAACTGAGCTATAGCCCCAACCCAATGCTTAACTTTTTGATAATAAGTTTCCCTAAAA